CAACCAGTCCTTGGTCGTCTCCACTGGTTCTGGTGCGTAAAAAAGACGGTTCCGTACGATTTTGCGTCGATTACCGAGCACTCAATAAGATCACTAGGAAGGACCTATACCCCATGCCACGTATCGACGACGCCCTCGATTCCTTACAAGGTGCTGAATTCTTTTCAAGCCTCGACTTGCGTTCCGGCTATTGGCGAATTCCCATGCACGAAGACGACAAAAAAAACTGCGTTTGCAACCCCAGACGGCCTATACGAATTCAATGTTATGCCGTTGGATCTATGCAATGCGCCCGCAACTTTTGAGCGCTTGATTGACACCGTGCTGCGTGGGCTGAAATGGAAGACTTGCCTATGTTACCTCGATGACATTGTTGTCTTTTCATCGACGTTTCCTCAACATCTGCAACGCTAGGACGAGGTCCTGACTTGCCTTGCGGCCACTGTTCTTCAAATTAACACCAAGAACTGCCATTTCGCCGGCAGATCTATCAAGGTCCTCGGTCATGTTGTGAGCATGCACGGAATTCGTCCAGACCCTGAGAAAACTGCTGCGGTGCTTCGCTTCCCTCGCCCTGACAAGCCGAAAGATTTGCGAAGTTTCCTTGGTCTCGCCTCTTACTTTCGGCGTTTCATACAAAACTTTGCCTCCATAGCCGCACCACTCCATAAGCTACTTGCTTCTGGTACGCCCTTTCAGTGATCTCAGGAATGTGAATCGCCTTTCGACAGGTTGAAGAGTGCCCTCACGACCGATCCTGTACTTTCTCATTTTCACGATGGTGCACCGACCTTCCTCCATACAGACGCTAGCGGCCACGGCTTAGGAGCTGTCCTCCTCCAGCGCGACAACTCTTCGCGAGAGCGAGTCGTTGCGTACGCCAGCCGCGTCCTCACCGCAGCCGAGTGGAACTACACGATCACCGAGAAGGAGTGCCTCGCCATCGTTTGGTCAGTGCAGAAATTTCGTCCCTATCTTCACGGCCGCCATTTCACCATTGTGAGCGACCACCACGCTTTATGTTGGCTTTCGACACTCAAGAACTTGTCGGGACGCCTCGGCCGCTGGATTCTACGCCTACAAGAGTATTTTACCATCGTATGCAAGTGTGGCAGGAAGCATAGCGACGCCGATGCTCTTTCTTGCTGCCCACTACCAGCCCCTCCGCTCAGCGGTTCCGCAATCACTTTGCACAACGCACCCTCGGAGTCCACGTCTACGGTGGTTTCCTCTCTAGCCTCTATGGACCAGCTGCCTTCGGGCGACCCGCGCGATTTTTCTTCTCGACAGCTGGCTGACCCATACTGTCGACGTATTAGAGGCTACCTCACTGGCAGTTCCCGTCCACCTATTGCGAGGCTCCGTTGCCAACTCTCGCAGTTTAAGCTGGACAACTCGGTGCTGTACCGCAAAATTTACCATCCTGACGGTCAGCGCTGGGTTCCCGTTCTACCCCGATCGCTTCGGTCCGAAGTCCTCAGAGCATTTCATGACCATCTGACGGCTGGTCACCTTGGTTACCATAAAACCTACGATCGCCTTCGAAGTCGGTTTTATTGGCCAGGTATTACCACTAGTGTAGCTCGGTACGTTGGGTCCTGCACTACCTGCCAATGTAGAAAACTACCCACATCTGCTCCAGCCGGTACACTACAGCCTTTTCCATGCCCAGCCACACCATTCGAAGTTGTAGGCATCGATCTTTATGGCCCCCTTCCAGTCAATGCTGCTGGAAACCGATGGATAGTAACAGCCGTTGACCATTTGACGCGCTAAACTAATGGCCTCACTGAGCGATTCCACCGCACTCTTGCTGACATGATCGCCACCTACATTTAACCAGACCACAAGAACTGGGATGTAGTTCTACCATTCGTCACTTTCGCCTACAATACGACTATTCGGCGGACAACCGGCTACTCACTATTTTACCTAGTTTATGGACGCTCCCCTACTTCTTTCCTGGACGTCTCCTTCTTTACCTGCCATGCGGATTCATCTCTATCCTCTTCAGAGGAATACGTTTTGCGGCTCGCAGAGAGCCGCCAACGTGCTCGTATAAACACTGAAGCCCGACAGCAAGACAGAAAGCTGGTTTATGATGAATCGCATCGTGCTGTATCCTTAGAACCTGGAGACGAAGTGCTCCTTTTGACGCCTATTCGCACACCTGGTTTGTGCGACAAGTTTCAGCCACGATTTATAGGGCCGTACACTGTTCTTGAAGAAACTTCACTAGTGAATTATCACGTGATGCCACTTGTAGCCCCAGCAGATCACCGTTATCGAACTACTGAGGTCGTCCATGTCTACCGTATGAAGCCCTTCATGCGACGTTTTTTGTCCCCTTGACTTGCCACGGCCAGGCTGGCCGCTTTCACGTGGGGGGAATCAGTGTGGGCATTTAGTATACCAATCCTCTTCATCTGTACATTATCATCATTATCATGTGTTGCTCATGCATCCTCATTGTTGTCACGTATCATCATAGTCTTGGTTCGTTCATCTCAGCTGTCGGCAGCCGGTTCCTCGGGCCTAGTAAAGGTCTTCCAAACCAAGATTTCATAATATATATATATTGAAACAGAAGAACAGGCAGAGCTACTTATGTCAAAATTCACGCATCTGGAAATAAAACAGCAGACAAAACACAGAGCAATGAAGCGAGTGATGGAAAATTCAAAGGATATTCCCAAGAAATCGAAGCGTAAAGATGCGTGGCTGGAAACTACATGTCCCGCCAGTCATGCTTCCACAATATATATAGATCAAACTGAAACTTCCCGCTAATCTCGTTACAGTAGCACCAATGTCATCATTGTGGTTGACCTGTCAAGCAGACCTGTCACACCTGCACAAATAAATCAGGTACCGAATGGTCTAACTTTATGTCCCGCTGGGGAGAAGATCCCGAGTTCTAGCTTTATTAGGACCTGGACAACTTATCGAGAATATTGCCCCTAAATGAATAATTTCATGTCCGAAGCAGAAAAACAATAAACCAACCATACATAAATTATGAACTCTGAGTGAAGCACGATACAAATATTTGCACATGTAAATTTCAGCGGTACAAGGGGATATAGTGACACAATCTGAAAAAATGTCAGCATATCCATAGAGTGAATGACGGAGAATGAGGCGAAGCATCCGTCCGTCCATTCGTTCTTGCTTCCGTCCGTCCATGCGTCCGTCTGTGTGACCGTCCGTGCGTCCAATCGCCCATCCATGCGTGCGTCTGTTCGTGCGTTCGCACGTCCATCCATGCATCCGTACCTACGTTCGCCCATGCATCCGCCCCTGCGTCCGTCCATGCGTCTATCCGTCGGTGCAGTCATCCGTGAGTCCGTCTATGCATCTGTTTATGTTAGTTCGTTCATATATTAAACACTCTAACTACACCATCTCGGATCTTTTCATGCACCGCCATCCAACCGACATTCCAAGGACTAAACGAGTGGTGGCACACGCACACTTTCTTATGGTTTGCGCTTCTTGTCTACTTCCCACCTTTAACCACCTCAACTTTATGGTATATACTAGATCACTGTATTCATAGCACAGTGGCTCAACGCTCGCTAAACCTTTCTAAAACCAAATAGGTTACGCCCAGTGAGTATAACGTAGCAATGCTTTCTTGTCAGATAGTGCTCAATGTACATGCCAATGGCTGCTAATGGGAAATGAGAGACAGGAGAATTCGGCTTTAAGTTAACGCGCACTTTACGAATTTTTTATTGTTCAAAAACGCACAGGAGAAATCTCCCAGCGGCAACACCTAGCAGGTCAAAACGTAAGACTCGTTACACACTACGACTAGGACTATGACTAGGACTACGAGGGATGAACGGGTGCCGCTATAAGAAGCTTCGCCCCTAAAACACTACCCAACTCACTGCCATCAGCCTACAGAGGAACGGGAAGCTTTGCACAGTTTATGTGACAGCCAGAGCATCATTGTGAAAACCGGCTGGTGTAGATGGCGCTGTAGTTGTACTCTACATGACTGACTACATTGTATAGGGCTTCTTCAATTGGCAAGTAAAATTTCTACAAAGGACTCACTTGTGATAAAGAAGCCTTCCAGAGAAGCATCAAAGACAATTCAGTGCCTTCTGACGTTAAGTATGCAAAATGGGTAAGGTTACGCATGATATGCATAATATGATGTGACCAGGCAACATCTTTCAAGGCTCCTTCAATTATGTACCTACCATTGAAAATAATAACCTGGCTTACCTATGCTTCCAGAAATGGCACCTCTATTGAAAAAAAAGTACTTAGTTTTGCTGATTATTGCGTTAAGCCCATCCCAGAAATATTTCCGTAATAAACTTAAGACACTAGCCACTTCTTTTGCAAAGTCCCAAACGTTGAGGTAACACCAAGAAGGTATTCAGTCACCATGAATGTTTCATATCTGAAAACCAACATTCCCCACACGGAATTGTTCGGCAGCAAAGTCGCCGCCTATGGAGGAGAGAAATCGACGAGTGAATGTGATGAAAGCGGTTTAGATGTGGTCTTGACGCTCATCCTAAAACATATTAACTTTAGATTCAACTCTGACTACCACCCACCGGTCACCAGAACTGCCATAGCTACTAAGGAGGCCCTTTATTACGCAAATGTTTTCACATATGTTTTCACTGAAAACTCACCATCCAAACTGATACTTCGCTGACGTTTTCTTTGATGACATATGGTTCAAGCAAGGGATGGTCAGCATGAGCTTTCAAAATTCAGTTTTGATTTCAAATGCTCCTCCGATAACCTTCATGCACACATACTCGCACGACAAAGTTCTTTTTCTGGATGTCACTGTATCAATCAGTAGAACCAGCAAGATGATTTTGCTCAGGTCACTGCTTGATCTCTCATATTTTTTCTCAAACTCTATATAACTTTCGAAATGCAACTGCATTCAGATTTTCTTGTACACGATTTCAAATTAGGTGGTCGGGAGTACTAATATGACTCCATTTTTCTTCCCTCTACAGATAGTTTCTGCTATAAGATACTTCCTGCTGTTCACTGCAAAATGTCACCATGGTGTAAGTCCCAGTATGCATTCTGTCGCATATTATGCACTAGATAACAGCATAATTTAGACCCTGATAATAAATGGAATATTTTGATGTAACAGTTGCATTCTATTACTCATTCACAGCGAACAAGTGGTCATGATTGGATACAATAAATGCGCAATGTATAGCCCGGTTTCGGTAGCATAATCATAAGGCTGACTGATGCACGAATTGTTTTTCTTGGTTAACTATTTTGGGACAAACAGTACACCAGTGGAATAACACACGCAGTTTTGACTTTAAATACAATATTTTTACAGTTATCTAGTACCGCAATAATATCGATTAATTGACCACCCGTAAGTCTGAAAGGTTCGTTGGTAATGTGCACCAATTCAGAAAGTGCGCATTTTTTAGTGTTATTTCCCATGACTGGCCATAACTGACATGACTGGCTAGATATGTTGCATTACAGATAATTTAAAGTACCTTTTGCAGAATACTTTATGGAATAAAACACGATTAGGTTAGGGTGTTGGATGATTTAGAAACATCGTATTTGACTAAAATATCCCTAGTGGCCTCTGGTGTTGGAATCTTTTCTGCGTGTGCAAGAACGAACCAAAAGAAGCGCCGTGAAAATTTTGAGTGGCGTAATTTATATAGTTGAACTGTCATGACGCAGGAGAAAAGCCAGAAATAAAATATTCTGTCTTGGAAACACTAATACTTCTGCTTTTGACAACCTCCCTATTGATGTAAAAGCTCACGTTTTTCTATCAAGGCGTCTAGTATGAACTGCTGCTATCGTTCCTTGAAAGTTATTCCTAAATAATACCTTCACTTGACAACAAATGTTAACAATATTGATCTCGTCTGACGGTAATGTGTGCCTTCTAGCTTGCTTTTGGAGATAACCAAAAATATTTGTGTGTTCCGTGAGCCCACTATCTCCACAAGTAGGGCTATTCCGAAAATCGAATAATAATATGTACCTACGACGCGAAATAAAAAGCAAAAAAAACTACAGCACAGTGCAAGCACCTAGCGAAGTATCATTTCAGGAATATCTAGTTGCTAATATTAGATAGTAGCAGTCAATTGTGGGCCAAGAGTTTAAAAACACTCAATTGTACAATCTCATTACGTTAATGAACATTAACGTGCTTTTTCCTGGTATGGTGAACAGAAACAAATTTCGTAATTCATACAGCAAAAGGGGCAAATTAAAGGATTGTTCCTCTTTGCTAGATGAAATAATAATGAGAACTTATAACAATCTCATGAAAAGTACAGGGGATATATCTTGAAGGATTTGTAATTCATATCATATTTACGGGACATAACATGAAGCACATTTTCGTTGGCATTATTTTCTGTTAGTTCTCACTCGTCATGTGACATGCATACTTGGCAGTGAACAGCTACTGATAATGTGAATGAGTGTACTTTTGTACGTTTATATTTTCGAAGGTGATGCACATACATAAAATGTCTGTTGGCAGGTTGGCACAGTTTTATTTGCTGTAGAAAAAGCCTACGGTTTTTGAAAATGGGTCTTCTACCACTTCTACTTAATCAATTGAAGTGCAGAATCAAACACGCAAAGATGTATTAACCAAGTCCTTAAAATAAGTTTCTTTTGGTCGTGTAGGATTACCATATTGTCAAATGATTAAAGTAGCGAAACGAAAGCTCCATTGACGCAACCACCATAATGCGTAGACTGACGTCACTTTTAACCCTTATTGTCGGCTGTCTTGTGAAGATGCGAGGAACTATTCCACTCATGATAAGAAGTGGGATCATCGCATTCGGCAAATGCTGTGCGAAAATGCAATCTGAAGATGCACAACTGAGCCATTTTTTTTCTCTCTCTGCAGAAAATGGAGAAGTGTGTTGCCCTTGTCCGGATTCCGCCGGTCATAAAACTGCAAAAACGAGAAGTTTCCAAGTTTCGATGCTTCTGAATATTGGAGAGGATGGTCCGGACGAAAAATTCATTCATGCTTATGAAGCCGACAAATATTGCCTTCGTGTTAAAATATATATGGCCTGCATTTTCCACTCGCATGCATTATATGCATCGCTTATGGGATAGCGAAAATCGAATACCGAGTCATATCAAGGGCACAAAACATAAATATGGAATATCTGTTATAAACCTATTTATCCCTATAGGCTGGAATATTTATAACTCTGTGCGCCTTCAGCTCTCTGGCGTCAGCCATTGGGCATATTAATTATTTGTGTCGCATGACCTAGTATTTCATATGTCCTAGTTATTTTGCGAGTTTTGCGTCACAAAGAGTTGTAACAATCGTAGCAAAGCCTTCGAACTCTTACATGGGTCGAACTCTTGAGTACCTTCAAGTGCGGCTTCCCAACAAGAGCGCCGCTCGCGCTGAGAGCCCATCCGTTGAGCGATTGAGCAGGAAATAGCGGAGGTCATTTCTGCTTACCACTCTCAACAACCTACGGCTTCTGCGCCCCTGAGTTACGCCCAAGTGGTCGCCAGACTGCCTCAAGTCGTTCCAGCACCCACCCATCTGACTTACGCTGAAGCTGCCGCTCAACCTCCATCCTTTGCAGCGGGTATGCCCGCTACGTATGTTCATGCAAGTCGAAGGAGGTTTTATTTATTTATTCTCCACCCCATTTTTATTCTTCTAGTTACTTAAAATTAGTGGTTTGGCTCCGCGGTTATTACCTGCCTTTAGTAGACATAGTCTTTTACAACTTGAAGTGCACTATTAACTATCTCAAAGCGCTGCTTTCTTCCGAGGTTGTTGTACATTACTTTCGGTTTTGGTTTATAGCATTTGTGAAATACTGATTGTCTCAGAGAGCTGTGTTACTGTTGGTAAGCGTTCGTGAAAACCATCTTGTTTAGAATAGAAAAGAACTTCAGCGTATCAAACCAAATATTCGCTAAGGACATGTTCCAGTCGTTTGCACGTAGTAGATGTTATAGAGCTATGACGTTAATTATTTACTCTTAGTTTATCTCTGGCGTTAACAATATAAACCACCCAACCTATCAACCAATAACCCGGTAAGGGGCCCATTTCTTGAGGTGCTCTAAATATTTCAATTAAAAAGAAGACACTCATTCCCAGTAGCGTTTTAGAAAGGCATTCAGTATTTTATCGGGCCCAGAACTTTTCCTGATATCTAGATAAAGCGAGAGCACTGCAACTCTTTCTTTAGAAACGATGACATCACTTCTACGTAGTTCATTTACTTGAGGGTCTTCAACAGGACATTTACGTTTGGTGGAAAAAACACTGACACAGTGGTTGTTAAATGCTTCAGCCATTCTTGCTAGTTAACGACAAACTGCCCCACTGACTAATACACTATATATATTTTTGACTTTGAATAAGCCAAGTACCTCCAAAACTTTTTAGGATTGTGAACCAAGTAATAATCCAGAGTAGTTGAAAAAATATGTTCACGCATTCTTCAATGAGTATGTCATTTAGTTCATTAGAAATTCGGAAGCGAAGAACGTTTTTAGTACAGTAGATTATTGAATAATTAGTTCTCGTGTGACTAATACTCAGTGTGTCAATGCGACACCAGGTTAGAAGTTTATTTGAATCATTCTGTAATTTTAGCGCTGAATAGTCAATTGATTTATTAGTGGCTAGTATTGTAGTGTCATCGGCATAAAGGAAATGTTCACAGTGAGTAACTCAAAGAAAAGAGTGATTCATATAAATTAAAAATAAAAGCAGGTCATAAAGCACCTTTTAGAGACACCTTCAATAATAGTACAAAAATCTGAAAATGTAGTGCGAATATGAACAGCCTGCTGTTTGTTAAAGCGGTAACTTTTAATGTGTGTTAGGACAAGTCTAACAATTTAAAAAGACATGAGTTGGGTTTCTAGGATTCTTTGGTTAATTGAATCAAAAGTTTTAGTCACGTAAATCAATAATGCTCTAGTTAGTTTACCAGAATTATTAGCTTTTTATTCTTATCAGTGAAAGATAACGATGTGAGATTGGTTAAGAATGCAGGTTGGAAACCAAAGTGATTAGGAGTTAGAATAAAAAATTTAGACAAGTGATTAGTGATGCATTTCTCTACGCATTTCTCTATTATTTCAATAAATTTGATAAGTTAGCAATAGGGCGATAGTTAGATATAGAAGTTCCCTCGCCTTTTATGAACACAAGTGTTATTTTGGCCAGTTTCAGCTGCTATGAGAAACCCTGCCTTGAAATTAAATTGATAACGCGGGATAGATCGATGACAATATGGTTCGCAACTAACTCCACGTTGAATAAGTGAACTCCATCGAGTCCAGCACAGGTTACAAGATTACGAATAATGCTCACAATTTCATTGTGATCTATTGGGGAGAAGTAAAATAATCGTGAAGAGTGGACCTGAGATTTATTCAGCTATGGAGGTTGAATAGATGCTTTATTGCAGTACAATGAGTTGAAATCATTCGCCATGTCATGTGGCTGATCTAAGACATAGTCAGCCATTTGATGCTCAGTGATATTCAATTCGGACATGCTCAAGTTTGAGAAGGAGTTCTTTATTAGCCATTGTTCTTTAAAGTTGTTGCCATCAGGCATTATTTGTTTCTAGTAATAAGTTTCCATCTGCGTTTAGCAGTCTATTAATAATATAAAATATATAGACAGTAATGATTTTTTAGTTTCTTAATTGAAAGACTCGTTTCACTTTGTTGCAAAAGTTTTTTTTTGCGCATACGTGCGAATAGACTGATTGTTATCCAGAAATAGTGGGGAGCTTAACAGATTTTCTTGCATCTAACTACGATGACGCTATCATGAATGCACTTGGAAATGCAAGACGAAAGATAATAGAAAGCTATGTTGGCAACTGTGCGTGCTTCTTTCTCTTCTTTTTTTATAATTATAAAATCTTATAACTCGGTTATGCACGAAGCCTTCATATGAAAAGTAAACAGGTTATAGATCAGTAATAGTTATCTTAATAACAGTGTTCAGGCGAAAAAAAAGTTAAAAAGAACAAGATCAATGAGTGTGCTACTGCGCCCAGAAATACATCTGGTTGGAAGTGTGATTACGAACTCGTATCAAAAACCCTGGTAACAATTTTAATACTCCATGCGAATGAGAGTATCATCAAGTGAATCAATTTTTACACCACCCACAATAACGATATTCCTACATTCACAAGGTAACGTCTCAAGAAAAGCGTTTATACTTGAAAGAATCTCTGAAATTGATGACCAAGGCTAACTTTAGATGGTTCTAACGGTAAGTTTACAAACGGGTGAAGACTAGTCTAGTTCTATTCAAACAAGTTCGCTCTTACTGACGGTAATATGAAGGTCTCATCTGTGTTTATAACGCAAAGTAGATGAAATAAAGATGGCTGTTTCGCCATGAGTACTTGATGTGCGATTACAGTATTTTGACAAATATCCTTGTAAAGCGAACAAGTTTTTATCTTCAAGTAAAAGACGTGTTTGTTGGATGCAGACGAGGGAAAAAAGTCTTGAAGTAATGTAAAAGATTGTTAATTTGTCAATTTCATCATAATTTCTTCTTAGACATGCGCTCTAATGGGAATTCATGATGTTCTAGAGGTGTTAAAAATGAGTCGAAATTTCTTATACTAAAGTAACACGACATGATGAAGCGCGGTATTTATTGAGTAGATAAGTTACTATATAGGTGACAATATCTATCGAAAGACAGAAGGGTCAGTTTTGGTGAGTATGCAATACACCGTATACTTTCGTTACATTGCCTCGCCTTAATATAGCAATGGTCCGAGCAAAGGTACACTCAACCCTTTTCTCTATTGAGAAAAAGAGCTTTCGCGAACCGTTTGTTATCTGCCGTGAGGTGGTCATTTACAAACAAAGGATAGTAACGAGGGCCTGGGAATCCGAAATTATGCGCGTTTAGTTTGGCTTTGCGATAGTTTCTTAGCCATTTTCGTTCCTTATCAACCAAAGAAAAGCGCGCGATATGCTTTTATTAGAGTCACTTTTAGCGGGAACGCGATGAATGACATAGGTGCTGAATCAAAGACATGCAGTTGATTTCAGTAGCCACAGCTTTTACTATGGTTGTGCAATCTTCCCCTTAAGAGCACAATATGTTTTTTTTTATTTCTGCCTTGTCAAGTGTCGAGTATTATTCCAGTTCAGACAAACGATTAGCTAAAGCTTAATTTTGTTACTTTAGCGACTTGTTAGAGGCAACTAATGTGGGATTCTCGGAGCGTCAACAAGCACATCGTGACCACTGACGCCTGACAAGAGGCTTTGCCCTTCACACTTCAGCTTTGCTATACGAAGTTTAAATGCTGGGAGTCTGGTTTCGAATAGCTCAATCAGTTTACAGGCTATTTATTTAGGTTTACTCTCAGTTCAGGCCAAAAGCTGCTCAATGCGCTTCGCCAGCTCGACATTTGGGGGAATGTGTGTAGGCAACCAAAAATAACCAGCAAGCTTGTGTATTGCGCTAGTAATGACAAAACTAAATCACTCATAGCAGCAATCACGGCCACGCATGATACCCGAAACAACAGCAAAAGACGTTCACCTGCACAAGCGTCGGAAATCCTTTCGTATAAGTGCCGATACGTAGGGCCATAGCTGTGACTGCAAAGTGACGTTGGGCGAGACGGGCTACCGCTTTGTGCCGGAACATGAGGTGGTGATCGGCGCAGTAAATCTGCGCAGATTATTCCTTATCCGCCACCGATACCAACGCTCGTTTTCGTGCAGAAGGTACGATAACAGAGGGCTCAGTCAGGTGGCGCAGCGGGCGCAAAAATCTGAAACAGTCGGTAACACAGGACCGAGAAACCGGCGCGGCCGTCGTCCAACAGCACGCTGGATTTATTCGGTGTCTTCCGAAAGCCCGCGGAAGCGTTGAAAAGCTTTTAGTGAAAGGGTGACCACTGAAACATACGCGCTAACCGTAGCACAAGGTGTGTGGCCCACATCTGCTGCGAAGAGTTTGAACATGTACGCGGCGGGATTTTCTCATTACTGATGTCATTACCAGCGAGTCGAAATCGACGAACCATCTTACCATTCCATAAACTTTTTGTTGCCTCCAGTTGATGGGGTGATATAGGGAGCAAGCAATCATAGGCGGCTAAAGAGATAGATAGATAGATAGATAGATAGATAGATAGA